GTAAACGATTCATTAGCTCACTGCTGCAGCACTCCACTGACAAGACACACCTGCTGGCTGGGCAGGTTCTAACCTAGGACTGATGGGAGAAGGGCTTGCGAACAAGAGACCAAGGTGTCATTTCTCTGCCCGTCCCAGTATCACCCATAGGGACACTGTCTCCTGGGCTGACAGTACAAAGGTGCACATAAAAGCAGGCAAGTTAAGCTATTGTGTTGCAACAGAAACCAGGACCTTGTTAAACAGTTCTCTCCATTATCATTTGTTCTCTCTAGGGAAGCTAAAAAAAACAAAACACCAACCCCCCCCCTCCAAAAAAACCCCACACATTGGTCGAGGCCATATTATAAATCCAAACAGTGGTGTGGGATTTCAGTGGAGAGAAGGAAACTTTTAAGAACAAAACCAAAAAGCCCCCATCAAGGTTAAGAACAGCTCACAATGTGTCCCTGTTTATCCACCCTCACTCACTACCTAAGACCATTAATTCTAGAGTTTTCCGAGGTGTAAAAGGGGTCAAAGAAGTAGAAGCAGGGATGGAGGGAAGGAGTGAGAGTCCAAAGACACGAAAAAGCCAAGATTTGCTGGAGAAAAGCAGTGATTCCTCATTTGCTTCTGCTCCCTGGGGCGGACAGAGAAAGCCAAGATCAGGTATGTGGTTTAAGTAGAAGCTGCTTTGGGGGAGGTAACAGCAAAGAATAGCACGAGGAATGGAGGACCAGGACGAGAGTCTGCATTTTTAAAGCTTCAAGATTTCAACAGAATGTGGATATATGTGAACTTTCAGAAAGGATAGCGTTTAAGAAAGGGCAAAACCAGGACATAGAAAAGACTTGGGAATTCCCATGACTCCTAAGTGCTTCCTGCTCCAGTATTCACTGGAGGTCATGCCATTTCCCCCAACACCAGTACAAAATAATTCGTCCCTTCCCCACAGCCTCTTTTCAAACCACGATTTCCCCGCTTATTTTGGTCACCAAGCAGTCCTGTTCTTTAGTGGCCCACAGACTCACTCCCAACTACCCCCCTGGGGGGTAAAAATGAAGGAATTCCCCCAGGCTGGCCCCAGTAACTCAGAATTAAATAAGAGGAGGGGCAGGCAGCCTCCTGGAGACTAAAACAACTTCAGAGACTAAACCTATCTTTCCAAGGATGGAAAATTTATTCAGATAATGTTTGAGAATTCATATATGCCACAATAGGATAATAAGACTTCAAAGGTAGAAATCTCACTCCTCCTTAAGCCTGCCCTACTGCCCAGCCAGATTCCAGACACTGTATCACTGTCACTGCCATTTGCTAAATGGAGGCCCCCAGGCACTAATCACACAGGCAACTGCATGTGTCGTAAAAATGCACAACTTTTCCATGAAAAGCTGTACGTCTCTTTCTCTCTGGCTACAATGGCGATTCTCCAGTTAGTTCAATACTTTAAAGGCTGCAGCAGCATGCAAAAGGATTTCATTTCATTTTGTTTTTTGTTTTTTGTTTTTTTAAAAAAAAGTTAAGAAAGGTCTCCAGGAGATGGTGAGTTTTATTGTCTTGTCTGGATAGAGGTTTGATTTGCTCTCGAATGTTTCAGGGTGGAGAGACTAGGAAAAAGCACAGGATGCAGAGGTCTATTCGGTGTAATCTCCCTCGTTCTCATCTTCGCCATCAACAGAGAGAGCAGCATACTTGCTTGCAGAACTGAACTTCTGGAATAGACAAGAGTGAGAGAATCACCAAGGCCTTGAATTCTCACATCAAAACCCAAGAAACAGGATAAGGCCACTTGGGCAAAATGGAGGGGACAGCCCAGGCCACACCCACTCACTCGCTCAGCATTTTCCACTGGAGAGTAGCTGGGGTGAGTGGGGCTCAGAGGCCCATGTGCTCTTACTGAAGTTCCTCCACCATCTTTCATCTTGGAGAGGGGATGAGAGGTGTGAAAGGGAGCAAACGGGGACACTCTGCTGCGTTTGCTATCTTGAACAAGCAGCAGCGCCTAACTCCCCACCACTCTGCTTGTAGCCCCAAACGTAAAGGAGTTCAAGGGCAAACATGAGCAAGCACCCAACACTTACGGAAGCTGGATTTTCTTCAGGTTTCTTTGGCTCAGGTGCAGATCGGGAGTCTTGATCCTTTTTGCCATCTTTCCTGCAGAGGTGTAAGTGTAAACCCCATCTTTGAGAGGACTGTCCCAACCCCCACAAGCAACGGGAAGCACCGCATAGGTACCTCCAGTCAGCAGTCCTTGCTACCTGGACTTTTTTTTTCTAGATTCTCTGAAGAACTGAAACTGTCCACACTGGTTCACTTTCCTTTGTTTACAGTAGGAGATCTGGCAATGCTTGGAGGACTGAGAACTTAACTACAAAGATGCATATACCTAGCATCAGATGAAAGGTTACAAATGACGAACGAGAACACACATACCTATCGGACTCCTTCCAGTGGTCTTTGTTCCCTCCATCTCCTGGACCACGGCCGGAGTTCCCACTTTGGCCTTTTGGGACACTCACCCCATCTACTTTGTTTTCATCTGCTTGAGTGGAGATGCAAAAATAAATGAAAAGCAGGTAGAGTAACCACTCTCCTTCCCCTAAGTTGTTTCCCTTCGGCTGCAGAAAAGTGTGCCCCTGTGTACCGAGGGCAATTCAGCCTCACCCTAACCCAGACTTCCTTTCCCAACCCTTCTTCCCACGTTCCCCCTGCCCCCAAATAAGACCCACTAAAAAGTTCCACGGTAGGGTTATGTCATCATGAAGAGCAAACTAGAAATGAAGGACTGTGACGCCGTGTAGTGACCTTGGCCTTACAGATGGTGACATTTCTAATCTGGACTGAGCATGTTAATTTCCTTCCTATTCTTTTTTTCCCCTTTTAAAGAAATGTTCTACCAGGAAAGGGCAGGGCTCCACGCTTTCTCCAAAGAGACCACTCCTGCCCTCTACTGGCAAGAAAAGGCAGCTAATCTAAGAATCCTTAACACAAAAACAGGTGCAAATTACACTGGAGTTCTGTATTTCATGAGTCCTCTACAGGTTTTTTACTGAGGCCTCTAAGCTACGTGAAATACTGACTTCCTGTTGGTCTTACCTCTCCTCGCTGGTCCTTCCTCAGGTGGCTGAGCTGGAACTACTTTCCCCCCACCACTAGAAGGAAAACATGTAATTATATTCATCAGTCTTAGGGAAGGAACAGATGAGAAACGTATAATCGTTCTCCAAATAGTAAACTTTACAGAGAACCAAAAATACATACTTAACATGTGGAACATTAAAATATAGGAAAGACAACAATGAAAGCAATTATCTGAACACTCACCAAGTACCATGTCCTGTAGGATCATCATGATCATGCAAGGTGAATATTATTCTCTATTTTACAAATGAGGATCCTAATACTTAGGAAAGTAAATGGACCCCCAAAGCCATACTGCCAAATGTGGCAGCAGCAGGTTCTGATTACCAATTTGCAGATTTCGAGTAGCTAAAGGGATGCCAACCAGTTATCAAAACTCTAGAAAACTAACAATGGCTTAAATGAGCCACTTCCAGCACACCACTGAATTTGAACTGAGAGCAAAGATAGCATAACTTAAAATATGCTATGTAAGGCCAACATCTAGGGCACTCTCCATCATGACATCACAATGTTTAAGAGTCTACAGCTAAGGAACTGTTCTGCTTCCAAGCTGACTCACCTTGTAGGGGACTGCTGCTCTGTGTCTGAGCTCTGAGATCGAGCAGGAGGGTTAGAACTTCGCTTCACCCAAGCATTCTCCTTTGGTGGAGGGGCTGGCATTACCTTCAGAGGCTGCTCAGATTTGGGAGGCTTAGAAGTTGGAGAGTGACAGTCTTCCTCCTTATTGGGTGCTTCGTTTTCTAGAGACTTTTCACTCTCTCTCCTTCGTGCATCTGTGAAGTCAGAGTAGGAAAGTTACATTATCAGGAAAAGCTATTATACAACCATCTATTCAGGATCTCAAGAGAATGGAAAATGGTGCACCCAAGTTGACCTCTTTTCATCATTATTCCTAAATACAGACCTCTATCTGGCTCCCAATAGATGAAACTATCCCTAAACCAGTGGTTACCAAATGTCACTCTGAGAAAAGTGACATTTTTTATTGATTCAAGAAAAATAATGGCTCTCCAAGGATAGCCACCCGACCTTTCCTAGGAACGAGTGCTCTTTATTTTAGGATCACAGCCTTACATTTTCAGTACAGTGTTAAAATGTCTATACTTGGACAATATGTACTGTGTGAGAAGAGGACCTTTGATGAACCTTAAACCCCAGGTACCACTGATCAAACTTCAATTTGGAGGCTCAAAATACACACACTGTGATATACATTTACAAAAAACAGAACATACATTTTATTTTTAAGGGCAACAAACGGCTCCTCAAAACTAAAAGTTATTTTGTCAGATTGTATGTTTTCAGTGCAGCCTCCTCAGGAGATATATAATCAACCATCATACTCCCACCTGGCTACAAACAGAGGCATTACCATCCTGTTACTAAAAGGCTACTCCAGTATGAGTAATTTCCAGAAAACTTCTACAACAATCATTTCAGCCCAGAGCTATGCTTTGAAATGCTCAAGTACAAATCAATTTAGAGGTGGGAGGAAAAAATTTAAAAAACACTGGTTCGCAGTAAGGGAGGTGTTATGATTTAATCACTCAGTTTCCAAAACACTAAACATGCTTGTGACCAATTGATAAATTCAAGGAAGGAAGAAAGGATCAAGAGCAGAAGATCATCGCTTGAGACATTGCTCTAGTCATACGTGACATCCAAAAAGGCTGGCGAAGAGAGCTGTGTGACTGTGACTGCTCTAAACAAAGGAAAACTCTGGAATGTCAAGACATAAAAGGAAGGGAGAAACCTAACCATCAAGTATACTCATTAGTGGAAGATTATTAAACAGATCACCTAAGTCTCTTCTGGTGCCCATTTGTCAGATTTTTCAGACCAGGAGATGTGACATTCTGATCAATCTATGCTAATCCAAATAAAGCTTCCATGACTCAATTTAACACCCCGAAATCTCTGCATAATTTGGTTATGGCTAGTTTAGGGAAAGGGGCAATAACACGATACCCACCCTGGTCTGACTTACTTCTGCCAGATGTGGCCGAGGTTCCAGTCTGTGATGACTCACTTCCTGTCCTGGACCGTTCCCGTTCCTGAGTCTCTTCACTTCGCCAGCTGGGGTGTCTATACAAAGAGATTAAAAAAAAAAGAAAACTTACGTCCAGCTCAATGAAGGCCACTTTGGACCCATGTTGACCCCTCAAAAACTATCACTTATTAATATTCTATCACACTCACTGTTATTTGTGGGTGGGTGTGCACATCTTGTCTCTCTCAAACCACTTGAAAGTTGCAGACATTAAGACACTTTGGCTCTCAACACTTCAAGCACCAAGAACAGTCTCCTATATAACCTACAGCCCTTCCTTACTGGTAACGCAACTCTACAAGCCACTAAAAACTAGACGATTTTTCAGAATGTTATTACAGGAGGTTTCTACCCTATTAGATCCAATTCCACCTTTTAATAATAAACGCTTCAGTAATGATTGCTTTAACATACACGCAAGTAAAAATAGATGGAAAATAATTTACAGTCGATGTTTAATATAAGTGAAAATATTTTCTCTCTACTCTATCCCCAGTAACTTGGAAAGAGGCACACCCACTCACCTCACCATGGTGGGGTTTTACTCCATATACTAAAGCCAGGTTTGGCCAATTTTTTCTTAATGGGTCAGATAAACTTTATTTGTAAAAAAAGGAACAGGCTGTATTTTGCCCACTCCTGTATTAAATCACTACCAATTTATATTTGTCAGAGGTTAAGGCTGGTTAAGCTCTTTTACAAATCGTTAAGGGCCAGGCAACTAATTCTTCATCAGGTGCGACTATCCCATAGATTACAGCACCCCTAGCGGCCCTAGGCCGTGTACAGTAAATGCTGGTAAGTGACAACTAGTAACCTCTACAGGAGTTTCCCAAGGGTGCCCCGGGGCTGTACCGCCCCCGCCCAACAGGGGGCACTGCAGTACCAGACGGGAAACCTACCATCCAAAAGAACCTCACCTCTCCCGGGGCCGGCGTTCTAGTTTTGGCTCATCCAGCTGGCGCTGCAGCTTCTCCTGCTCCTTCTGCAGCCGCTCTTCTACTTCTCGCTCTCTAGCAGCTGTGTCAACAGGCTTTGCCCCTCCAAAGATAGAGGCCGCTCGACTGGACTGGGAGGTGCTAGCAGAGGAATCATCTTCCTTAGGAGTACTCCGAGGCTTTAGATTCAGTTTGGGTCTTTGCGGGGGACCTAAGTTAAATAAAACTCTAAGTAACAGTTTTTCAAAATCACCAGAAGCTGATGGCTGAAAGCCAGATGCCCAGACAGAGCGCTAAGAAAATGCCATGTGGGATTCAGAGTAGTGACCTGGCCAATCCAGCTGAGAAGGGAGAACATTAGAAGATGGCTTAAATAACCAAGGACAATTAATCTTTCCACTACCATATCCATGAGGCAGTGCCACACTGAAGGGAAGACTGAGAAAGGTAAACACTTACATGGTGAATCATCACAACTACTATTACCGGCAAGAAATGTCCAATTATAATAAACTACTGGATGAAAGTATCTTGGTGAAAAGTGTGGTCTAGAAGATGGACTACTTCAGGAGGCTAAGAAGAGCTTGTAACAATAATGATGGGAAAGACTCTAGTCTCTGTGTAGAATCTAAATCTGATAGTGATTCATGGAGCAAAGCATACAGCACTGAACAGCTGATGTAAATACTAAAGGAATGTGATTCCTTCTTGGATCGAAGCTGTCAGAATATTTCAAGATAAACCTTAGTGTTTCAAGGGAATTATATTTCTCAAAATTAGTGTTTATCCTAAATATTTCCAACATACAAAAGATAAACAAGATAAAACCTATGTGGTCCCAACCACCCACCTGGCTTAAGTAATAAAACACTCTAAAATCCACACTAAAGGCTCCTGAGTATCTTTCCCCTGATGACATGCCTAGCTGTGTTCTGTCCTCTCATAACCACTACGCTCAAATTTGGGGCTTATCATTCCCAAGGAGGTCTTTATACTTTTAGTACAGAACATATGTATGTATGTATCTGCAAAGAGGGGATAATTCAGCAAGATTTAAACTTCCCTTTTTTAAAAATATATGTATTTTAAAGATTTTATTTATTGACTTGACAGAGAGAGACACAGAGACCAGAGAGAGAGAGAGAGAGAGAGAGAGAGAGACAGCACGAGCAAGGGGAGTAATAAAGGGAGGAGGAAAAGCAGCCTCCCCACCGAGCAGGGAGCCTGACAAGGGGCTCGATCCCAAGACCCGGGATCATGACCTGAGCCGAAGGCACATGGTTTACGACTGAACCACCCAGGCGCCCCAAGATTTAAATTTTCTATAAGGATTTTAAGCTGGCAATTTATATAAACTTCCGAGATACAGTTTTTTAAAAAAAAAGATTTTATTTTTAAGTCATCTCTATATCCAATGAGGGGCTCGAACCCACAACCCTGAGATCAAGAGTCTCATGGTCCATCAACTGAGCCAGCCAGGAACGGCCCCCGCCCTCCCGAGGTCCAGTTTTAATATGTATAATTTTATGAAGGGCCCATTAACTTCCCTTTTATAGGGTAAAACTGGGGGTCAGAAAGAGTAACTCATTTAAGCCATACACCTAATACTTGGAGGACCAAAGGATGACATCTGTATTAACAAACCAACTCTACGTTCCTCCCACTATAGTACATAATGTCCTTTTCTTCTTTCTTTGATAATTTCCATTTATTTTAGCTACTCAACAAATGATGAGCACCTATATTTCAAATACTGTGCTAAGGCCAGGAATATGACAGTTGGCTAGTTTTTAGTTCCTGCCTGCAAGGAGCCCAATTCAATGGGAAGATCAGAATAAAGAAAGAACACAGTATGCTAAGCTCTACAAAACAGATTTATACACATGGAAGTTCTTAGACTGGGACTGTGTTTGGGGAAGCCTGTGAAGGCTTCAAAGTGGAACTCCTGAAAGTCTAGAAAACTGAGCAAGCACCTAATGGTACATAGCACTAACGAGGTAAACTGTAGGCAGAATAATCTAATTAGCTCTTGTTCCAGAAAGACAATTTGGGCTAGTGTGAAGATAGAATGAGGCAGGGAAATTTGTTAGTAATGTGGGTATAAGCAATGAAGTCTGAACAAAACCAGTGGCAGTGACTCTGGAGATAAGGGGGCAGATCTTAGAGGGACCACAGGGCAAGATCACCGGAAAAAAAGATGAGGTATGCAGTTACTGAGGGAGGGAAGAATAGCTTGAGAGAGGAAAAGGTCATGAATCAAGGAGACCCAAAGCCCACACCTAAGCCTCCACTATACTCTCTAGTAAAGTGGAAATGAGAAACATTATACCAGATAGAATTCTTTTTTTTTTTCCTTTTAAAGATTTTATTTATTTATTTGACAGAGAGAAACAGCGACAGAGGGAACACAAGCAGGGCGAGTGGGAGAGGGAGAAGCAGGCTTCCCGCTGAGCAGGGAGCCTGATGCGGGGCTCGATCCCAGG